TCTACTTGAGGGGGACTATAATCCCGATACCCCAATCTCCGCATCCTGCAAGTGCTTCAAAGTGCGATCTGTTGCTTGGACAAGCGCAGGAGCGAAGTGATCTGTCACTGAGCGTGGCGGGCTCAGCTTGGTTAACTCAAAGTCCACAGGGTTTGGGGTTTAGGTTTGGGGCGGGTTTTGGGGGTTGGCATTTGGTGTTTGGGTATTTCCCCCAATTTTGCGCGTGCTGCTTTCGGAGGAGCTGTTTTAACTGGGTTGACATTGCGCAGTCTGCCTGGAGGAAGGTCGAATAGCTCTGTTCTCAGAAATGGTTTTCCTATTGTTTGATGCGCTTGCAAGTGGTCGTGAACCCCCAAAAGTACTGAGGTTCAGGAGTCGCTGTAGATCGGGGCGACATTTTGCAGTGTGGGGAAGGGGGTAAAGCCTCTTCCAAAAAATCATGGCTCCTGTGCAGGACCCTTTGTGCAGGATTGTGGTGAATGTTTACCTTAAACCCTAGATTCTACATCAAACCTTTATCCCCACAACCCTAGCCTCTAAACTCTGCTTGCTCATGGGAGGGTAGGGCGGTGGGCGCTCCAGGGCACACGTTTCCAGCAGCTCACCAAAGGTTGCAGCTAATCTAGGCTTGGGCCTTCGGGAAGCCCAGCTGGCTGAGGATCTCAAGTACTGCATTTTCGGCCTGGGTGATTCGCACTACTGGGGCAAGGGCACGGAGGTGCGACAGGGAATCCTGAACTTACTGTAGTGAGTGGAACAGGACAGGGAGACACCATACCATTTCGGGTCTGACAAGATCATTCAGAAATTGCTACAGGAAGCATTTCGTCCATTTCCTAGCAATCACCAAAATCCTTAAGCCTAACCAACCCAAAAGACCCACATAATGTACTGTGTCCTACTTTCTTTTCCATTCCCTGTAAACACGAGGAAGTGAAGAAGAGTCTTGCAATTTCAAACCAAGGGAGGCTTGTAGGTATTGGGGAGAGTTTGGGTAGTGACAAGTGGGGTTACTGGCAGGAACACTATACTTACTGTATTGAGGTACTTAGGGTAGTGATGAGTAAGTCAGCCGTCTTATCGTACTTGCAACTGTATTTGTCTGCAGATTAGCTCCTTCGCCCCCAAACCCAAGCCTCCAAACATTGACAAACAAGATCGACTATGTGCCAAGACGTGATTCCACTCTCGGAAACTAACATGGAAACCTAAAAAGGGCCCTATAAAGACTACAATCCTTCTAAAAGGGACTATAGGGGTTTCCATGTTAGCTAGAGAGAGTGTAAATGACGGCCCTTGTCGTGGGATCCTCACACTCTGGACATGATGCTTGCGGAATAGATTTGGCTCCTACACAGAACACAGCATGCAAACCTTGCGAATGGTATGGCACCCGTTGTTTCGAGTAGAGGTCTGCACCTTCTGAACTTTTTCTCCTGTCGGGTGGAAGCATAGCTACAAACTTGTCGATCATTTTTCATGCTTCTGATCCATATCTCAATTTGAACCTCTAGCCTAGAAACTGGAACCCCAACCGCTAAACATCTCTAAGCCCTGAACCCCTTAACACCTGAACCTCGAACTCTTAAACCCTCAAACCCCCAAGGAAAATTTCCTCCAGACCCTAGACCCCAAACTGCCCTTGTAAGCATCTGCTCATGGAGGAGTCGAAGTTCAACTTTGCAAAGCCAGCGCGTGACTTGGACGACATGCTGGAGCAGCTCAGCTGAGTCGTGAGATTTAGGGTTTTGGGGTGGGTCAAAGGGGTTTGTGGCTTTAGGGTGAGTAGGATGGGGTTTAGTTATTGCGGTTTTGAGGTCTAGGGCTTGGGGATTTTGGCCTCAGGGGGCTTGAGGTTTCTTAGGGAATGGTTTGCGGCTTCAGGGTAGGGTGCCTGCATTTTAAGTATGCTCTTCAACTTGGTGTCTCAAGGCAGGACAAGATGCATCCAGCGGTTCAGGATGAGAGGGATGAGGGGTGGGGCTCACCTGACTTTACACCAGATGGCCACTTGTTTAGAATGCTCCCCATTTGAAGGTAATAGAAACTAGCTGGACTATGCTTCCCCAAACAAATTTGGAAGTCCAAGCAGGCCCGCGCCACTTTTCAGGTTTCATATTGGGGTAGATTTTATAAAGGATGTTAGGACCCAGGCCTGAATTTGCGACTGGCGGATCGGGATATGGGAATGTCCATCATTGAGGCTCTTCCTATTGCAGCACATTGCAGATACCTCAGCGTATCCCTGTCTAAGAAGGTTCTTATGGCTGGGCCCCGAGGACTGAAAACCCTCCGGGTCCTTGCAGGAAGAAATACAAAAGGGGTTATACAGAGACGATGCCTGAAACCCTGGGAACAACATATTGCACAACTTGAACCTCGGCTTTTTCATGGGTAGCTCTGTGTGGACTTATGATTGCTTTTTAATTGCCTCAAATCCTAGGCGTTAAACGCTAGCCCGACGGCCCTTAACTCTAAACCCCTTACGCTCCAAATGGTAATTTCCCGAAACAAGGGCCCGAATATAGACCCCAAAATGCTAATCCTCACTATGGGGACCCTCAAAAAGAGTACTCCTAGATTTGGGAAACCCCCAAATGTCCCGAGGAAGATGGGGGCTCAGCGCATGATGCCTACGGGCTTCGGAGACGACCAGGACTCGAGTAGAGACCTCCAAAAGGAGTCAATTCTTTAGGTCCTGCCATCTACAGACATAGATCCCTGGAGGTTGTATGGAGGATACAAGAGGCACTCCAATATAGGGGCCTAAATAATTACCAATATTATGGTTCCATATTCCTTGTATAAGTATAGTATATGGTACCTCAAATGGACCAAATATTGGTAAAATTATGTAGGCTCCTGCAGTACCAGGATTTTTCCGGATCTTCATCTGCGAGCTATTGATTGCTGCATCCATTCAGGTACTACATGAGCTATGGACTGAATTTAGGTTGGGGGGGACCTATAGAGGGTTTTGGGGGGGACCTACTGTTGGTGGAGGAAATCTTGCACCACCTGAAGTCCCTAAAGTGCTAAGGATTACAGTAGTTTAGGGCCCCTAGGTGGTGCAAGATTTCATCCATCAACAGTATTCCCTAAACCCTAAACCCTAAACCCCTAAACCCTATTAAGGGATATACTACAAATCCAGTCCAGGGCTCACCTGGGCGAATTGCAGGTTTGATTTTTTTATCCGTAAAGGGCTTGGGCTCAACTTCTTTCAGCGCCAAAGTTGATCATGCTGCTGGATCCTGCGGGGCTTGGGGAGAGTCTAGAGATTGGGGGTTTAACCATTTAGAGTTGTAGGGGTTAGCTGCATAGTGTAGAAGCCTGAATTGATCAAGAATCAGCCCCTCACAATTCGTATGTAAGGGCAGCATACTCTAGCCCGACAACCGATTCGAATTCTGTATCTAGGCTCCAGCACTACTGGGGTTTGGGGGTGGGGTTCGTGACAGCCTCAGAATGTATTCGCCCTGTCTTGCCGTCATAAGGGTTCGGCCTCGCAGGCTTGCAACAGAATTGCATGCAATCCTTTTTCCCTGACAATCAATCCCCCCAACCCTTGAAATAATGCGCATTCCTCCACTGCACCTTTTGGTACTATAAGGGTAATTACCAATATCATTCGCTTGGGAATATTGATTATAAGGGCAGGGGTGGGAAGGAGGTTATCAGAAAGGGGAGGGATTAATCCTGCTCCTGTTGGTCTGTGGCTGCTTGCTCTACTTGAGCATGCGACATTGCCTAACAATCCTGCCAAACGAGCTATAGTCTCAACTCCTTAAAGGGAGCTGTATAGGGGATTATACAGGGCACTACTATAGGGGACTACTATAGGGGTTATTAAGGGGATACCAGGAGTTTGGACAACAGCTCAAAAAATGCGGCTTAAATTTCAAGGTTGCGCCCTGATAACGGTAGAGCAGACAGGCTGTAGTTCTGAATGGATACCCTGTAGAGTTTTCTGGTCAATCAGCAGGGTTTCATCTAGCTGCCGCAAGATCAAAGCAGAAATTGTCCTGTTGCCTCAATAGGAATTGGAACGAAGTTCCGAAGACGGGGGCACTTCTAGAACAGAGTTAGTTATACTGATGTTTTGTACTGGTACTTAAAGCCATTTATTTAAACTACACTTAACTACGCACGAACTTCCAAGCGCGTTAAGCAGGACACCGACCAGTATCACACTGGCTTTGCCGAGTGGAAGGGCCAGCTCTTTTCCCGCCTTGGGGTCGACAAGGCCTTGCAAAATTGATAACAGAGTTTAGAGCCCTGATAGCATTCATAATAGTATTTGGGCCCTAAAGCCCTGTTATTTGGGTCCTTGGACCCTTAGGGAATGTGAGGGGTTGTGACTTCTCATCAGCGGATTATTGCTTCAGTTCGGTGCTTAGTTAAGCGAAGGACCAGCTCAGAGCCTAAAAAGGTGGGCAGCAGGTGTTCATTTGCACTCCCCATCTGTGGGCTCCTTGACTACTCTTGACTTACTGGTGCGTAAAGGGAGCGCGGGAGTGGATCTCTCTAATCAGCCCTTCCAAATATATACTTATGTATATATATATATACACACACTCTTGCAACAGTAATAGCCCTGCGTAGAGTCACCCCGCCCCACTGCACTGGAGAATTGACTGTGGCGATGGTCATGCTGACTGAGAAAGTACCATGATTGCCATTGCCATTCTGATTTCTCCTTCCACTCTCTCCTCCTCTTCTTACACGACTACTGCTATTACTCCTGCGCCGCGGCTACTTGTGCTAACGCAACTGCTATTGCAACTGCCGCTGATGCTGCCACTGCCACCACTACAACTATTGCAATTCTTTCTGTCGCGCAGCAAGCCTGCGAACACAGAAGGCCGATGCTGCGGGTGGTGGCGATGATGGCCCGGTCAAGACCGACGAGCAGATCAAGGCACCCAAAAGCACTGTAATGTTAGTCGGGTATAGAGGCATGGATCCCGATAGTAGCTCCATCATTCCTACGTGCCATTCATTCCTTCTCCGCACTGACCACCAGTAAGCCGATGGAAGAATTCAGATGTGAGCCCTTGGGGGATTTTGTAGGTAGACTCATTAGCCCACCCTATAACCACATCACTAGCCTACGTAGTTTCAGAGCTCCCAAGCATCCAAAGGCTTGGGGGGCAGAGCCTGGGGTTACTAGAGGTTTAGGGGTTTAGGGAGGCAGGGCTTAGGGTTTTGGGGTCTAGCGTTTAGGGCTTTAGGGTTCAGGGTTTAGGGTTTTGTAGGGTTTAGGGTTTTGGTTTAGGTGTCGATTATGATGCTGCTGCAGTTTGTCTGGTTCATTCTGGCTCGCACTGGTGGTATTTTAGAGTGGAATCCTGAGTCCATGTGTTGGATGCCATCAGGTCGCATGTTCGAAGCCCAAAATGTCATTCTTTGTAATGCTTGGCCTTTCATTGCAGTACAGCATGTGGTGATGTTGAGGCCGGCATTTGTCATTGCAGTTATGGTTTGCGATGCTTACAGGTTTGTTTATGCATCAGTCTGTATGTATTCGCATGTTTGTTGATTGGACATTTCACTGCTCACTGCCTGTAGTGGTGATCCATTGTCCATTTGGCCTTCACATGCACGGTGTATAGGGATGTCTTGCTGTCGGACTCTTAGCTACCAGCAAGCTTTCAGGTGCAGCCCGCCTTTCAGTTGCGATGCTTTTTGAATTGATGGACAAGTGTGACCTCGGACCTTTCGAGTGCGGGATGATCTTTCTGAGTTCCGGACAAATCCGAAAACCAAGTCAAAAGCCCAGTCCAACGCCAAGCCCCGAATTCCGCCAACAAAAATTACCCTGAACCGCTAGCCCTAAACCCTTCGGGCCCCTCAAATGCATGTGAAGCCAGAAAACGGGTACTTCCTACCAGGTGGAGACTAAGCAGCTGCGAGGCAGCATGAAGGCCTTCACCCTGTTCGGTTGCGCATGTGGGGTTTTGCAAGCTTCTGGATTCCTTGTTCAGATCTGCTTGCAGTTTATGGGACCTGACATAATTATGATAAGCAGGGCGCTCATTTTTCACGTCAGCCATCTATCGCTCTTGCCTCGATTTTCTACCATGAATATGATGATTGCGCTTGCTGCTGCCATAATCGTCATCGTGCGTATGCTGTGTGGCAATTACTGCCGTGGTTGTCTATGAGAAGGGCCATTATTCCCCACGCGCTAGGCACACGAAGCCGTGAGTCCGAACCCTCATGCCTAAACGCCGCCCTCACATACTCCTGTTCTTTGTGAAGTTGATGCAGGGGTACCTCCGAATATTGCTGTGCTTCTTGTTGTCCTACTTCTAGCCCACGTTACGTAGCTCTGCATGAACTTTCAAGTATGGACTGGCACAATTCGTCAAGTGCGGCTCTTGTAGCATGGAGCAAACACCCTTTGACAGGAGAGCTTGGATGACATTACCACCGGACAGATTCCCTTCCAGGCCCCAGGGATGGTTGTGTTGAGGTAGGGTTAAGGGTTCTGGGATTTAGGATCTCCCCCAAAAATATGGTAATTCAGGTTTAGCCAGGTTTGGTCTAGCCACTGATAGTCAGTTGCCACGCATGCTTGAGTCCTGTCTGAGTTTCGTCATCACTGCTGAGTCAGCTGAGAGCATGTCCTTCATGTCTCCTCTACAGTTGACCATTCAGGAGATGAATCAACGATTTTTGATTGTGGGGTGGTACCCTATAGTAGTTTCCATTTTCTTTTCCCTTATCCCTACATAACCCCTAGAAAATGAATATAGAGTCGTTATATAATCCCTATACAATCCCTATGTGCTATGCAGGACACCAAGCTGATCAAGTCCCACGGCAGCTACCAGCAGGAGAGCGGGGAGTGACTGGAGCATAGTTTGACAGTTGTACGAGCTGCTAGGTAGTTGCTAGTAGAGTTTGCCGTATCCCAATCCTGTTTCAACTGTGCCTACCCGATGTTCTGCCCACAGCTATGCATGAACTCCCAGGTGTGGCTGCAACAATTGAGCTTGCGTTAGATCTTGATAATAGTGGTATAATAGGAATATAAGAGGACCCTAATATAATCCCTATTATCCCCTATAGTCACTATTACTGGCTGGGGGGTCCACCTAAGTTAGATCGCATCTTGAGCCCCGTGGCTTGAGTTTTTGAGGTAGCTTAGAGACTCTGGGACTCTTTGTGCGTGCATCTGAGATCCATGCACTGATTCTGAAAGCTCTCCTTTGCTTACGGAGCTTTCGTAATCTCACCGTAGCCTGCTCAAGGGCTCCTCTTGTAGACCCCGAAATGCAACAACCATTATAGTCCCCCTTAAGTAGATCGAATATGGGGTAGATGGGGATCTTATTATAGCATACCCAAGGCCATATTCTATCTACGTAAGGGGGGCTATATGTCAAGGATCTCCCAGAAAGGCGTTCGAGTGCTTGGAAACCCGAAATCCTCAAGGCTAAGCCCTAAATCCTCCATTGACCTGCCAAACCGTCCCATGTTGGGGGTTTTTGTAACAAAGAGTAGAGGAGCTGGACACCCATAATTTTTCAGAGGCTACTACACAGCATCCTTGGGTCTTAGTTTATACATTGCTTGCTGCAGGATGATCGTGATCTTCGTGAAGAGAGGCAGAAGATGGGTGTCGAGAATGCCACTTGGTCAAAAATTGGTCCTTGCAGTAGGTAGGTGCCTCTTTGTGATATTCTATCCTTGGCTTCCAGGATCCGAGTCTCATTCATAATTCATCTGGTTGAAGCCAGAGCATGAAGGGATGCAAGGAAAGGTACCACTATGGGCTATTAGACCTTAAGGGTCCCTTAATCTACCCACAATAGGGTCCTAATAGGGAATTTTAGGGTCTAATAGCCCACATTTGTACTCGACTTCAACAGCCCAAGTTCCATGGGTGAAACCTGCGATTTCATCTTGAGAGGTGGGATTCTACAGCTGTCGGGTCTCGGGGCAACTCCTTCCTGCTACTCAGCGAGGGGTAGGGTAGGGCAGGGGAGGGTGGAGTTGGGTAGGGTAGGAACCGGGGCATGGGTTGCAGCCATAGGTTCTGTTGTGGGGCCTACTCTGCTGATCCATCCCCTCCTTCTCTTCTGAGCACCAGGTAGATCCGCTCTACAGCCCTCGCCTCACAAGGACACGTCATCGAAAAAGTGAGAAGAACCGTAATAGCAAAACTTGTCATTCCCAGTCTCATCATTATCGTGACCATTCTGCTTACGCTTAGTGTTCAGTCGTTTACGATGCCTTGCAGTCTGTTAGCAAATTTTCAGAGCAGCATGCTTTCTTTGCATACACCTTGTTACTTGGTGAAGACACCCCATGACGGTTCTAAGTGCTTTTGCCTTGTTACCAGCATGTGGAATCGCGACCACGAACTTTGCATGTTTGGCACCCTTCATGATGCGGCGCCTAATCTAGCTGCTACGTTGACTTGCGGAAATTTGACACTATTTTTGACCACTGCCCACTTCTGGCACTCGTCCTGAGCGTTGTCCTATGTTTACAGAACTTAAAGACTGAACATTGGTGCCGCGTTGCCTGCTGCAACATCCCGCTCAACGATGTAAGCAAGGCGTGTGTGCTGCAAGTCCTGCTGGGAGCGCAAACTCAAGCTCTCGATTTCCAGCAAAAACTCTGCAACTGTTGGGGCAGAGTGTTTCCAGCTTCGTAGCTAGCCGAGCATTCTTGGAACCCTTTGCAGCTTGTGACATAGGTGGTTCCTGTGTATCGTCCTTGTATATGGTGGATGCTCCTGCCATAGTATGACATAAGTGGTCCTGTTCTGGCCCTTTAACATAAAAAATGCTCCATCAAGTGTCCATTCTTGGTCTGTCCACTGCACCAGTCGCACATGAGAAGTGTTGCTCGCTTGGTTTTACGTGGTCCTCTTAGTAGCGCCTTACATGATGGATGCTCTTTCTGCATTATTGCATGCGTGGCCCGCTTACTGGCGCTTTACGTCTTTGCCGCACCAGCCTCACCTACTAGTACCAGATGACGATTACCATTACTTATTAGTGATCATTTAGACCCCCCCCACCCTGTAATGGTGGTATAACAGGAATATAAGAGGACCCTAATATAATCCCTATTATCCCCTATAGTCACTATTACTGGCTGGGGGGTCCACCTAAGTGATCATGACAAGCATAAGAAGAGTCACAAGAGAAACTCAAGGCATCTGCTTACTGGTGTGTTCAAGTTAAGGCGTTCAGCTTCATGATCCGCGCCTGGGTTGCACCGAAAAGGACCAGCTTTGACTGCAGGATTTCATTCATGTGGTTGTCCCATGATGAGGTTTATCCGAAACCTGAAAGACCAAGGCCTTGACACCTCAACTAAGAACCCTACCTTGGGTACTGCCCCCCTCAGTAACAGTTGGATAACATTTTATATATGGTTATATATAGCCCTTAATAGGACCCCTAATATAGACTGTTACTGGGTGGGGGCAGTACCCAAACCCTACCCTTTCAGGTCCCATAACGCCTGCGTTACTTGTAGACCAAGGCCAACCAGGAGTGCGTTTGGACAGAGGGATTGATAAAGAATCTCAAGGGTCAGATTCGTATGTAGATTGCGGCTCTGTTATGAAGATTGTTTAGACGGAAAATCTTGGGATGCTGGATGCATTGCTTCATCCTTTTGCTCCCCGAATGCACTTGTTGCACTTCCTGCCGCTCGCCTGCTCGCTCACTCTCCCTTTCTCCTTGGCTTGTTGCTAGACGCTGAACGCTCAACCATCAACACTAAACCTTAGTCATCATCCAGGTGTGCGACTTCCGGGTGGCTTCTGCACCGCAGAGCAGTGGATTGCCATGGATGTGCCCTGCTCGCACATTTGAGATTCATGTGGATTCTCACAGTCGGGCTCTGGAGCTGTTGAATCTTACCATATATACCCAATATATACCCTATTATAGTAGTTTCCGTTTTCTTTTCCATTATCCCTATATAACAGCCTTCACTGGGGACTTCTCAACGCTTCTGCAACGATACTATCTTGGATCGCAGTCAAATTTTTAGTACTTTTTTTTAGAGCCCAGAAATGTTGTTGTTTGCAAGCCTTGACTGCTAGAGCTTCTTTCATGGGCTCAGGGGTTTAGAGTTTGGGGTTTATCGGTTGTTCAGGGTTTAGGGCGTCAAGAGTTCTTCCTATGCAGGCAAGGTTGCGCATGGTTGTGCAGCTGTCATTCACCCTGCGGGTATGCGGGTGACAGTGGGAACGCCCTGGGCGAAACAAATTTGTTGCCGAATTCTTGCAAAAGCACGGCCGTTGACCCTAAAACTTCTAAGGACATCTGCCAGAACTTTGCCAACGGCACGTTGAAAATCACCACGCGCCAGACCTGGCAGGCGCCATGACTGCCAAGGGTGTCAGTTCTGCAGGACCCTACGTACCTTACATCTTGGAAACCTTGGCATTCTAGTATGCTACGGTCTTGCAGGGTTTTTAGTATCAACTGAATCGCTCCAGATCAACGTTAGGGATCCTTTAGGTTTCTTTGTAGTGTGGGTTTCCGTATATTTATGAGGTAGGGCTTCGTTGTAGGATTTACAGAGTCCAGAAACAAGAACCATGAGCCTTTTAAGTACAAGAAGGATTCCCTTTCCTTTCTATGGATCATGCTTGGAGGGTCATGTGGACTTAGTAAGTCGGTGAACAATGGAGAGCATTGGGGCTATTATATGGCTTATAGGCGTTATTAACCTACTTACTAAGTCCCCATGACCCTAAACCCTAAACCCCAAATACTATAGTAGCTTCAATTTTCTTTTCCATTATTACTATATAACCCCTAAATATACCCAATATAACCCTATAATATGGCAGACTAAGCCCCCATGGCCCTAAACCCTCCATGTGAAGTGAGTGCACATGGCCTTGGCAAACGGAGGCATCCCAAAACTCCCGAAGGCTCTTTGGCATTCGGATGTAGGGTTTCGGGATTAGGGAAATGCTAGGTTGCTTCTTCTTGTTGTGCTTATGTGGATCATGTACAAGCAGGCAGATCTACAGGGTCTATAGTCCCCTTAAGTAGATAGAACATGGGGTATATGGGGATCTTATTATAATACACCCAAAGCAATATTCTATCTACTTAAGGGGGACTATAAATCCTAAACCCTTAATAGTAGTTTCCATTTTCTTTTCCATTTTCTTTTCCATTTTCTTTTCCATTATCCCTAATATTCTATCTACTCAAGGGGGACTATAGGTTTCCTCAAAACTTATGGGTCCCCTTTGGGGTTGCTGAAGATGCGCATGGTAATTTTGAGGGAAGACATGAGGAAATCCTCCTTTTAAGAATTGCTCATGTGATTCAGTCCTATCCCAGTGACAGACCTTGTCAAACAATTCCGGGATACAATTGTTCAAGCTTTCGTGTCATAAAGCCAGAACTAAAAGGGATTTTGGTCCCCCCAAACCCCACCCCAAAATGAGGACCCTATGAGTCCCATATGGCTTTCATTGAGACCTGATTTTTTGGGTTGGGGTTACCGTTCCGTAAGGACTCGGCTCCCAAATTGAACCCAAGCCAGAAAGCCTGAATGTGAGACACGCGTATATACATATACACATTTATGTTTATGTATTTATGTCCATACATGTATGTATGTCTGTATGTGCGTATGTATGTATGTATGTATGTATGTATGTATGTTAGTTAGTTAGTTAGTTAGTTAGCTAGTTAGTTAGTTAGTTAGTTACTACGTTGCTATGTTATTATGTTACTACGTTGCTATGTTCTTATGTTACTATGTTGCTATGCTCTTATGTTATTATTCTATTGTATGTTCTTCAAGGGACTTTGCACCTGCCAGGTGCACGGGGTCCTGAAGCGCAACGTGTCCCGGCAGAGTGGGCTCAATCCTTGTAACCTTGTACCCCCAGACGGTTTTGCGCTTACTTGGAGGGTCATGGGGACTTAGTCCACCATATTATAGGGTTATATTGGGTATATTTAGGGGTTATATAGTAATAATGGAAAAGAAAATAGAAGCTGCTATAGTATTTGGGGTTTAGGGTTTAGGGTCAGGGGGACTTAGTAAGTAGGTTCATTAAGCCTATAAACCATATAATAACCCCAAGTATCCCCATTATTAACCCACTTACTAAGTCCCCATGCCCCTCCAAGTAGGGACCCCAAGCCCAAACCTTACAGGGGCTCCAAACCTGACACTCCAAACTCCAAAGGAGTTGAGATCTTCAGAAATAGAGATTTCCCTCTTGGGCCCCCCAGGAATTGGATATTGCAACTTGATCCTGCAGCATGGTGGGTCTGAACCCCGAGGATCCCCAGCCGTATTTCAGGTGAAGGGGAGTGGGGGAGATGACCCCTCTAACTACACTCCCCCAAACTAACATGGAAATCCATATAGTACCCTTTTAGAAGGACTGTAGTCTTTATAGGGCCCTTTTTGGGTTTCCATGTTAGTTTCCGGGAGTGTATCCTTATAGGATCCCAGTTGATACCCGCTGATGTGGTACCTTTATTCACTCCCATGGGATGATAATCTTAATCGGACTCCTGCTTGTTGTTTGTGCATTTGAGCAACTATCGCGTGGAAGGTGATGCGCTTGGGCCTGGAGCTGTGTGATAGCTCTGTTGCAGGTCGTCAGCAGACATGGAGACATGGATCCCTATAATCGTCCATATATGAAAATTCTCGATCTTCCGTTTCTTCATTCCCTACTAAACACCAGTAACTTTAAGCTAGCACTTGAGTAACGGACTGGGGGTCGGTTGTGCGAGGTCCGTGAGGTCGAGATGAGGTTGGACCCAGCTCTTACACTCAATCCCTACACGTGGGCAGAAGGGTAAGTCCTTGCCCGATTGTTGACGTGAAAGCCCCGGTGTGCGCCTGAATTCCTGAACCCCAGAAATTCGTCCCTCGCCCCCTGTTTGCCCGCGCCAATTGCCCACATCAATGGAGTCTGCTGTAGATTGTTTTCGCGGTCGTGGATGTGGTCGGTCTGGACGTTATTGGATTCACTTCTTGGGGATGCGGTCGTGATGCACGTTTTTGTGGGTTCCGTCATGTATTCGCTCCTACCCTCGTATGCTGTAAATAGCAGTGTTCCTGCAGTTGTGGACATTCTCCTATGAAGGTTCTTACTGCGGATGTGCTCGTAACATTGCAGGGGCTGCACGCAAATTGTGAGGTAGAGGTCCATTTGAGCAAGATGAGGGTCATGTGGGATTTGCAGAGAAAGCACAGTGGCCACAGCTCGTGCGCATTTCTTCTAAACCCTATACCCTAACTACGAAACCCTAAAAACCCTAAACCCTAAACCCTAAATTCGAATCCCTACTCCAGGCAAATCCCCAGGCTGCCCCCAAACAGAGAAGAAGACTCTCTAAGAACCTCCCGGTTCCCTTTCAGTCCCAGTTGAGGGACAATTTTGCGGGGTGTGCGTCCTAGTTGCAAAGCCCTTGAGGCTGTGCACTAGCCATGGCAGATTGTATCCAGTCTAGGTCCTAACAATGGTATTGCAGTCCGTTCCTTCCATCAAGTTCTTGGGTGCCTCAAGACTGGGGGTTCTTCTGTACCACCAGCAATACATGCCTTACTCCTTATCGCACAGACTCAAAGAAGAGACCTCTACCTCTTGAACGCCTGCCTTTGGGAGTTTGACAACCGTCTCTTCAGAGGGCCTTTGCAGGGAATTGCTATGATCAGCGTTTTTCACAGTTCAGCTCAGCATGCCTCACCCCTCCAAACTCCCCACCATGCCTTCACCTCCTAAATGCCCCATGAAATCTAAAGGTGAAGGCTACCATGCGAGCCATGAACAAGGCACAAAGCTGGGAATTCTTTTAGTATGCAGAGAATCAGATACAGTTTCTTAGGTGTACTTACTCAAACGAAATCCTGTCGCAGTTGACTGCGAGCAAGCTGCAGAGCTTTCAACTTGCGAACATTATGGGTGTGAAGTCTCATTAGTTCACAGGGAGGATGCGGAGAGCCATGGTCTAAGCTCCTTAAAGGGCGGATATATAGAGGACTATATAGGGAAGTATTGTAGGGGTTATTAAGGGGGATTCTAGGAGTTTAGACGAAAGCGCATGTGGCCCTCAGCGACCCTTGGGATTTGTGGGATTGCAAGAGGATGGTCGGATTACCATGAAGGAGTGTAATGTAGAGCCTACACCCTAAACCCGATTCTACACCCCAAACCCAAACGAGTTTAGGGTTCCTTCCCCAATTCCCAACTACGCATGGGCGAGGCAGTTCTCAAAGAGGATCCGGGGGTCGCATGAGGGTTTTCCCAAAATTAGGAGTCTACTGGGGTTATATAGGGGTTATATTGTAGTCCCAATAGGTGAGGGGGTCTATTAATCACGGGTCTATACTATGATTGTGATTGTTCCAAGCGAGCTAGGAAGTTTGGTAGCCTTGGTGTCGGGTTTCTAGGTGAAGGCCTCAGGGTCCAGAGCTTGGCATTTCACTATGACGTGGGTGAGTGCCTAGAGGGTCCTTCAGAATTTTGCTGGGAGTAGCAAGTGAAGATGTAACTGACGAGTATAGGGTTGTTCACGGACTAGCTTGGGAACTGCAAACGCAATGCGCTGGTATGCATTGTATGGATTGTACAAGTGCACCAGAGAACAACACCAACCTACTCTGGTTGTTCAAGCCCTAAACTCTAAATCTGGACAAGTCCAAAGCCCTTAAACCCCAAACCCCAAAACACTACAGGGTTTAGGGTTTCGGGCCCCCTATATACCTAAAAACCAAACCTGCAGGCCTGCATGGACACCTTGGCAGCCTGCGGAGATGTGTGCCGCAACGTCCTGTGCACCTCCCGCCCGGATGTGTGTGCCTAGCCCGAACCGCTTGTTGCATTCCTTCACATGGGGTTTCCGACAAGGAGGGGTCCCTTTTTTGAGCGGCCTTTCTCTCAAGGTTCAGAAAATTTTGAGCTGTATGATTGGGAGCTTCGAAATACTTTGATTTGGCAGACCAGGTCAGCAATATACAGAAGCCGCACAACCCATGCAACAACGTGATATCAACAGGGCACATCCCCAAAGTTGTTATAATATGTTGATGGTAAACTATGCATCAGCTATGCTTCAAAGAGTTATGCGAGTGATGCGGGCATATGAGGGCCATATTAGCCTCCATCCAAACCCAAAACGAAAAGCTGCTGGTTGTGGGCCTTGCGAACGGCTTTCTGAACTAGGATAGGCAAGTTTACTTGGAGGGTCCCGGGGACTTAGTAAGTGGGTTAATATTGGGGATAACTGGGGTTAATATATGGCTTATAGGGGTCATTAACCTACTTACTAAGTCCTCATGATGCTCCAAGTAGGCAAGAGCGGAAGTCTTGACCTGTGGGTTGGGGGCTTTCGGGTTTAGGGTCGAATGTTTCGGTTTTAGCGCCGAGAATCTTGGAGGATGCCATCACAGCTTCTGCGAGAGCTTAGGGGCCTCTTGTAGGCCCTTAAAGCCCAATTAAATGGAAGTCTAACCCCCAACCCATGTTTACGGTTAAGGTTTCTAATCAAACCGTTAACAGTCAGGTAAGCCCTGTGGCTCTTGCTTGAAGGGTCATGGGCACTTAGTAAGTAGGTTCATAACCCTTATAACCTATATGGTAAGCCCAGTTATTCCCATTATTAACCTACTTACTAAGTCCCCATGACCCTAAACCCTAAACCCTAAATACTACAGTAGCTTCCATTTTCTTTTCCATTATTACTATATGACCCCTATATATACCCATATTAACCCACTTACTAAGTCCCCTGACCCCCCAAGTAGCATCAGCAGAGGAAGAAACCCGAGTTGAAAGTTGACCAAGCAATCTCTGGAGGTGTCCTGTTTAGGGTTTAGGGTTTAGGGCAGTCTTTGTGTCCTCTTAAGATCCCATAATCCTTGAAATCTCTAAGAAACCCCTCTGCACCCCAAAGCCTAAGCTGGGTAAGGGATTTGTTGCATGTTTTCAGGGGTGCTGAAGCCCAATATAACCCCAATATAACCCTATTATCATATAGTAGTTTCTATTTTCTTTTCCGTTATCCCTATACAGCTAGGTTCAGCTATAGTCTAAACTCCTTAAAGGGGGTTAAAAAGGGGAATATATAGGGAACTACTGTAGGGGTTATCCCTAAACCCTAAACCCTAAACTCTAAACCCTAAACCCTAAACCCAAAACCCTAAACCCTAAACCCCAGAGCATTGAGGCTCCAAGGAGCTCCATGCGGAGATCCTCCACTACACCTATGACATCCACGATCACTGCCTTCCTCGCTGCTCGACTTACTTTTTCTGCCATGCCGTGGGGGTTCTATTGGGGTTATGTTGGGGTTATGTTCGGGTTATATTGGGGTTATACTGGGGTTATGTTAGGGCTATATTGGGGTTATATTGGGATAATGGAAAGTAAGATGGAAACTGCTATTTAGGAGTTGTGGGTTTAGGGGTTAAGGGATTTAGGGTTTTAGGGTTTAGGCCATGCTGTGGGTTGGGATTAGGAATTTGTGAGAAGGGTTGGCTTCAGACGACAGATGCCACACGGGCATGTCGCAAAGTGGAGTCACCCCTTCCTACTCCTCAAAGAAGATGCTCATTCTAGGAACCCCGAACAGAGACACATGTTTTTGCAAAACCTTGTGGATCAAGTCGAAGTTCTGGTTCCCATTTTGGGGATCCAGTCCAAATGAGCCCCTACATGTTCTTTCAGTGTCGAGAGTCTCCATGTCGTTTCGGTTCAGGTTCTGGTGCCTACCACGAGATCTTCCTCATGCAAGGCGCTTGACACGCCAGGGTTTCTGAAAAAGGGGGGTCCAGACGGAGCCAAGTCCTGGTGGAGCACTTGAGCACTTGGGTAGAGCATTAGATGCAAGCAAGTGGCCGCAAGTAGCCTCCCCTAAGCTATTCAAGAGGGGCCCACAAAGCCTCCTGTGCCTTCAAGTGGTCTTATATGGACTCCCATGTTGTGGTCGCGGACAGATCGCTCAATCCTATAACCTTTTCGGGAAACCCAAGTGAACATGTTCAGCGACAGGTTTTATCTCTTTTTGCCCTATCAGATTATGACCTATGCGTGCCGCACTCGTCTGACGTGGCATCTGGCCTCAGCCGGCTTCCTACCCAGATCACCATAGCATCTGAAAATCAGACCCCGGAGATCCTAAACCCTAAACCCTAAACTCTTCAGAAGCCCATAATGACCCCTTGTGTAAACCCAACCAACAGATACTAGACTTCCTTGCGTTATCCCAAGAGGATTTTTGCCCAAGCATGTCTGGTTGGGGGCCTATAGTCCCCCTTAAGTAGATAGAATATGGGGTATATGGGGATCTCATTCTGATATACCCAAAGCCATATTCTATCTACTTCAGGGGACTATAGCCCAAAATACAGGCTTTTTGTTTTCGCTGGGGCCTTGTAACCGATCTGGTCTGAGCGCAGGCGATGAGATGGCTGAGAAGATCCAGATCATGGGTTCCACGCCGGTTGAGGAGGACTCCGGCGGTAAAGCTTTTTGTGCCCCGTAAGTAGATATAATATGGTTTTTGGAATATTATAATAAGATCCCCATATGCCTCCATATTATTCTAAACCGTAGCTTCCATTTTCTTTTGCATTGTCCCTATATAACCCCAATAAATATACACCATATTCTAGCTACTTCAGGGGGACTATAAGTCCTTACTGCTTACCTGACTCCTCCCTCAAACCCTAAATGCGTCAATTCAGGGTTGGATCCCAAAAGCTGGAGGGTTTGCGGTTTAGGGTGCAGGGTGAAGGGTTTTTGTGATCAGGGCCGTGGAACATTGGGGTGCCTTTTATGACCCCAAATAGATGTGGAACTCTCCTATTTGGTGCCTCCATGTACAACTACCAATGATCTCAAGAAGCCCATATACTATACCCTAAACCGTGAAGGCCTCAATCACTAAACCATCTAAACTCGTAAACCCTACTCTCGAAACCCTGTTTCGCAAACCAAACCACAAAGATCTAAACACGCTTCTACATTAGTTTCCATTTTAGTTTCCATTATCCCTATATAATCCCTACAATCCCTATAACCCCTATATAATCCCTATATATCCCTATATAATCCCAATGTAAGCCCTTGTAATCTGCCAGGAGCCGCTCTACGGACTGACTTACCTGCCCAGGAAGTTCAAGGCCTTCATTGGAGGATTGCTAGGTAATAAGGGGATAATGGAAAAGAAAAGGTTTAGGGTTTAGGGTTTAAGGTTATATTGGGGATAATGGAAAAGAAAATGGAAACTACAGGGATTATATAGGGATTCTATAGGGATTGTATGGGGTTTATATTAGGGTAATAAGGGGATAATGGAAAAGAGAATGGAAACTACAGGGATTATATAGGGATTCTATAGGGATTATATGGGGTTTATATTAGGGTAATAAGGGGATAATGGAAAAGAAAATGGAAGCTACTATAATGGAGAATGAAAGGGACAAGAAAATGGGAAATGAAATGGAAACTATGCTTATTTTGTGCTGTATTAGGGTTATATTGGGGTTATATAGGGATAATGGAAAAGAAAATGGAAACTACTATAGTATATAGGATTATTTAGGGGTAATAGAGGGTTATATAGGGGTTATATAGGGTTATATACAGAAGGGTTGTCTTACTCGTGGTTGGAAGGGAAATGAAAGAAGTAGGAGCTGGAGACTCTTTTCGGGGACGGTATACTTGGAGGGTCATGGGGACTTAGCGAGTGGGTTTATGGGGATAATTGGGTTATTATACGGCTTAGATGGGTTATTAACCTACTTACTAAGTCCGCATGACCCTCCAAGTAGGGACTACTACAGGAATCCATCCCGACATTCTGCACTAAACACTTGAAATAGGGCTTACAGGTTTACGATGTAGCGGTAGGGTATGAAGAAGTTGCGGGTTGGAGGGCTTAGAAATGTTTTAAAGGCAAGAAGTGCAGCTTATAAAGTCATTTTACGGAGAATCTTTGTGAATCGTTCTAGGCATGGTGGAGTGATGATGCTAATTCAAGTTCTTACCTATTCTTGTGAGGGCTTGAATCTGGCTCCGTGTTGTGTTTTTGGGATCCTTACCGAATGATAGGTGAAACCTTGTACCCTAAAACCGGCCTCCTGATTCGAGAAATGCTCGTCAAAGAGCAGGGCAAGAGGGTTTGCTTCGAGACAAGCTATGAGCAAGAGGACAGGGAGCAGGGTTCGCATTACAGTCGTTTGTGCTCTTGCTTGAGCACTTTGTACTTCTTTTCGCGTACCAGAAACTGAATCTAAGGGCCGAAAACCTTAACTCCGTAGGGCCTTTAATTGGACGCTGGTCTGCAGCAGCTAGATCTTGTTTCAGAAAGCCCTTGTCTCAGCCCGCGAAATTTACAGTGCAGCGCATTCTTCTAGTTCGACACTCTGCACACCAATGGAAGGTGGCTGTGGCCATTCCTCCCAGCAACGATGTGGACCTCTTCGCGCACTGCGCAGGCACATATCATTCCTAGGGAAGCCTTGAGGGGTCGCTCATGGCCTCGTTATAGTCCTTGTATATCCTCATGACCAGCGTGTGATCAAGCAGTGTCTGATCAGCATGCATTTCCCTGCCAGCATGAAGAAGGTTTGTAGACTGTATCGCTTGTTGACGCATTCTTTCCTGTGCTCTCATGGAGCTTGTGAGGCTTCATTGCCATCATTCAGAATGGCAAGCTGCTAGGCGGGGCAGGGCTGCTTCAACCTAAACATTATGCTTAGGGTTTAGGGAAGACTCCTCTCCTTTCGCTTTTTAGATCTCATGTACGCTGGGGATTCATATTTCAATTGTGTGCTGGGCATAGTGATGCCCTTACAAGGCCGAGGGATATATGAGTAGTATTTTATTTGGGGATACTATGGTGCCCAATATAGAGTAAGATTATATCCTCCGTTTGGGGTGTAGTATTTTATATAAGGAATATGATCTTACTGGGTTTAACGACCAAAAAACACTACTCAATATAACCCTAATATGACCCCAATATATACCCTATTATAATATAGTAGCTTCCATTTTCATTTCCATTATCCCTACATAACCCATTATAGTAGTTATAGTTACGAGGCCTAGGGATATGTGGAGATCATTGGAAGTCAAGAGATGGCAGTTCCCCTATATTCCCCTTATCAGTCACGTGGGGATGATCTTCAGAAACTTCCACGCGACTCCCACTCCAGGTCCCAAAACGGGGCCCCTACCGTATTGTTTTGAAACCCCAACATGGACTTCTGTGTAGCCTTGCTAGGTGCAAGATGTCCTGTACCCATTCTATCAAGATTGGTATCCTTTGTGCTAAGTAAACACCCAACCATTGGGGTCATCGAAATTGCGCTCCCGGCATAAATGCGCCCTCGTGGAATATGAAAACTCTGACCCCTCTAGGTCCTAAATCCAATCACCCCCACGCCTCAAAAATGAGTAATAAGTAGTGGCACATAGTGTCACCCGATGGATGTGGCGTCGTGCGAAGTCGAAAGCCGAACCCCCAAACCTTAAACTGGTGCCCTGCCGCAAGCTAATGCGGAATCGCGTAGAATCTTATGTTAAAAGGACAGTAGTCTTCACTGCGCCGCGCCGGCTCCTTGTTGGGGTTTGGGTGGTCTAGGGTTGAAGAAAAGTGCAACATCAAGAACAGGCTTCAACGTGGCTGTTGGTGGTGGCCTGGGCTTCACCCATAACAACCAGTGTCTGGGCCAGAATTTCAAGCGCCGCTTGTGCTTCTTCACAGCCGTTCTATAGCAACGTAAAAGCCCCACAAAAAGGCAGGTTTCTCTCAAAATATTCGTGAGTACCGGGGCCCTCAAGAGGGGCATTAAATCAGGGACACATAAGTTATACCCCTATTTAATCCCTATAATCCCTCTAGTTTCCATTTTCTTTTCTATTATCCCTTTATAACCCCCCGAAACCCTAATGTAATCGCTGCCTGCTGTCGGGCTTGGCGCGGCTGTACGTGCGGCACCGAGGAAGTAGCCTGACACAAGTGAAGTCATAACTCTAATACTATAGTAATAATTGTAATAGTAGTATTAGTGGTAATAGTAGTAGAAATAGTAATAGTAATTATAGTATTCTTGGCGAACAGCAGCAGGATGAGCGCCTAACCTTTGCAGCCTACTGTGGCCCTGTTTTGAGAAACCCCAGCCAGCGCTGAAGCCTAAACCCCAAACTCATTAAAAGCATCAAAGGAAGACCCATCCTCGCCTGGCCGATGTGATCGGTGCCTTGGAAGAACTCTGCAGGTGTCGGGAGTTTGCAACTTAGGGTTTATGTTTCAAGGTGTAATGTCTCACCGCTGAGGCTTTGAGAATTTAGGGTTTTGGGTTCCGGTGCCTTGCTGAGTATGAAGATGCCGGCGTAAGTTCGGGCTCTCCGTAGCATCTGAGCTTCAAGAAAGGAGGTGCTTCAGCTTTCCAGCAGCCAGCTTCCTGCATGGATTCGGCACTCAACTCAGGCTTCTGCAAGCCGGGTGACGCGTGCCTTGCCTTGTTTTCTGTTGCTCTCAACTGGGAGGCTCCAAACATTGCGGATCTTTGTCGAGGCTTGAACTGTAAGGCTCTATGTGGTGTTAAAAAATTGCTGCCATGTAGAGAAATACTCAACACCGTTCACCAGTGTACCCTGTTTTTGACAAATTCCCAGATGGGTCCAGAGGATGATGGCAGCACCATTAACCGTCTGAGGTCCCAACATGCTGGTAGAGACCCAGGTCACATAGCCTTCACGTAGCTACCCTGAAATTAACACCCGAAAAAGCAAGCGAGTGTAGATTCGAGACTGCGAAGTCGATAGCATAAGGCTCATGTCATAATGTCATGATGCAGCGCAACAAGGAAGTACGTGTGCGAGTGCATCCTGACCGTTGCCCGTGACTTCGGTGACCGTCACTCGCAAAGCAATGACAGCTGCCTGTAGGGCTTGTACTTTCACCGAAAATAGCAGGGAATCCCATAGAATACCGTTTTCCAAAGGACAGTGCCAAGTTAGTGTGATGGAGGGTAGGAGATGAGTCTCATTTCTGTCAGGCAAGTATGGGTGGCTTCATGCAGGTCAGGGAAACTAGAGCTCAATCCGAAATTGTCTGGTGTCAGTTACCTGAGCTTGTGGAGTGCGCTAGAAGGTTTGTGGGGAGTTTAAGGATTCGGGGGAGGGGCAGAAGCAGTTCAGCTGAAGTCATGACCTGATTTGGCCAGCTGTAAACCATCCAAGTACTTGTCTCCAAGGAACGGGCCGCAAGCATGCTCGTGTGAAGTACACTGTGGAGGACTACGGCCCCGAGTGGTTCAAGGAGCGGATGCCTTGTTGGGAACCTGATGTGTAAGGTGCAGGGCGAGAAAACATCTAAGGCCTCTAAGGTCGAAATCCTAAGCGAGAGCGATGACGAACAGCGATCCCAATTTATTGTGGTTCAAAGCTGCGGTATTGATGGATCAAGCTCTCCACCACAAGAAGCATTCAAGATAATAAGATTTGAGGAATCGTGTTTGGTCAGGGTAATGCTTTAGGGTTCAGGCCATAGCAAGGACGCACATGTTGCAAGACTGCGTGAATCAGGAGTATGTCCTGAATATGCCTGGAAACACTCTTGGCATGATTCAGGGGCGCCCTGGAATTTTCTTTTTATTCCCTCATCTCCGTAGGGTGCCGAAGGGCCGCCCATTTTGAGAATCCCGCTGAGCAACGGCAACAAATCCCCATGTGGAAATTTCTTTGAGAGTTGAATCTAGATTCGCCGCGTTAGCTGTTATGGTGTGCGCGGTAGTCCGCGACAGTGATGGCGTCAGTAAAGTGAAAAGATGCGTCCACGTCAGCTTCCTGCGGCCACGTCAGTCTGCGACAGGCGTGGGCGATAGCGCAACACCAATGATTTTATCCAAAGGTTCGGAGGGTTTTGCCACGGCTCATTTACCCCAGCCCCCAGATACCCCTATAACACCCTGTAACGTTCCCCAAACGCCCCTGTTCATTCTTTCGTGAGAACCCAACATATGAGGATTAGCCTGCAGATTGAAGTTCAGGCAGCAACCCGATCTAGAAGCTAGTATGGGTGGGGGGCTGAGGGTTTCTGCTTAAGGATCTAAAAGACATTTGGGGCTGAATGGAAGAAAACGGTGTCACATTGACCAAGTGACAGTTCATTCATCAGGCGGCAGCGTGCAATCTCGAAGCTCTGCTTTAAGTAGCACCATTGCATTGATGGTAATCGAAGAAGTTGACCGGTGTAGTAATGAGATGTGACAAATGGCCTATGGTATATTATATCAGCATAACTCGCAGGGCTTGGTATAGTATTCTTGTGTACTCCCTAAGTGATATTCGTATCATTTCATTGGAGCTTTCCATGAACCTAAAACCCAAACCCTAAATCAAAAAAGGCGAACTTCCAAGCATCACTATACTTACCCCCAATATACTATTGTAGTTTCCATTTTCTTTTCCATTATCCCAAAATTAACCCTAACACTATTCAGGAGCAGGTTGAGGACCGCCTGGGATTCAAGCTGGAGCCCGTCATGGACCCAGGGTTAAGGATGGCTTAGGATATTAGAGGATTTAGGGTTTAGGGTTTAGGATGGAGGTTCAGGGTTTAGTTTCTTCTGGGTTTAAGGTTTAGGGTATTGGGGGTGGATTCGGGGGTTGAGGGTGTGAGGGCCTTAGGGTGTAGGATTTTACGGTCTGGGGTTTTGGTTCGAACAGACCTGATTCAGCAGTGAACGGAAAAGCTATCCTTACCGACATACTTGAGTACTTGCTTAAATTGCAACAGGGAAAGCGGGAAAACTGAACAGTTGGAGTATTGCACAGAAGTTTCTCAAAGCACGGGTCTCAACCTAGGATGCTATAGAGGATATTCCGAGAACTACACCCCTCCCGACGATGAATACTCTGTTATTCTATGACAATGTTTGTTTCTAAGATCTGGTGTTAGGTGGCGGGGTGGGGGTTCAGTAGTACGGAGGACTGTATGTGTACCAACACCCTACACCTCAGGCAAAGTCCTACAAGCTGGAGCACCGTGGTGATCTGCATGGTCCGAGCCTCAAAACTGTTCTGACTTAGTACAAGAAGCACGACAGTCACATTTCATAGTAGTGATGACTATGGTCATGACGATGCTCGTATAGGTCGTTGCTGTCATTCTGATGATTTGGTAGTGTCGTCATCCCGGCTGGGAGCAGCTGGTCTCATACTTGCCATAGTGGTTTCATTGATGGCTGGAGCTGTTGTCATTACTATTGCCAGTTGAGCTATAGTCTAAACTCCCTAAAGGGGGTTATATGGGGGATTATATAGGGAACTACTATAGGGGTTATTAAGGGGGATACTAGGAGTTTAGACAGTAGCTCAGTTGCTATTCCTTGTACTGCAGCCAACAAAATGACAGGGCTCATTGGTGCTTGCTTCGACCTTCTCCTCTCCTAGTTATTTGCTCGAACCATGAATCAATATGTGGGATCAGTCCAGGACTGTGTACTATTAGAAACGTAAAACACCTGCGAATGGCTTCCGGCATTATCTTGCATGTCCTGGCAAATGGTCATGCATTGAGCCTCTGAACCCGAAATCTTAAACCAGCAGGCAGAATGCTTTACACACCAAGTTCCGAACCCTAAGCCTAGGTTTCTAGACCCCAATCCATACCTTTCCCAAACCATTGTTCGTTAAAAGAGGCTACATCGGCAGGTGAGCCCCAAATTGTAAGCTCTAACTGCTCTAACCGCAACATCCTCAGGCTGGGTCAAGGCCAGCGATGGCACCTGGAGCTGCGGCCTTCTGATCCCCATCGGACGTGTGAAGGAGTTTTATCTATACAGCCTGTGTAGTAGCCGTCAATTTTAAAGGCAGATTTCAAGTGGGTGAAGAGGGCTCTTCGCGGATTATGAACACGGATAGACGACCCTGAGAAAAGAGGTTCGGTTAAGGAGGGGTTTCAAGGCTCCAAGGTTTTGAGTTAAGGGTTTAGGGTTTAAGTCTGGGAGGAGAGCACTCGCGTGTGCATCCGCAAGATTGCCGAAGAGCTGAGTGGCAAGGAGAAGGCGAACGACTCAGCCGCTCCTGTGTAGGTGTGTCCTAACAGTGTATCCCACAAATTCAATGTACTCCTCATTACAAGGACCCCTCTTTTTAAAAGCTTCCATGTATTTTTAAATTAGCTTCAGCCCATTCGATGATGCACTATCGGACCCTGCAAGTCAAGCTGGTACGCGATCGACCGCAATAATGGTTCATCTCTGGTTGGAACTACGGGCCCACATACTTGTTGTCCATACGTGCTATCTACTATCTATCCTGTAAAGACTACAAACCGAATGAAGGGCCCAAGGTTCTCATAGTTAGCATCCAGCTGTTTGCATGGATAATTTCCCGAAGGTGCCTCATTTCAGGTTACATGATGTAAAAAAGCATACTTTTGTAGCATAATTCCCAAGGTATAGCATACTTGGAGTCAAGCTAAGATTTGGAGCAGACCTAAAGCCCTAAAGCCGAAGCCACCAACCACTTCATCTTAGCCCTGCTTGATCAGGGCGGATTCCGCATGACCTGCAACCAGTCTCTGGTCCTTGAGAACATCTCTGAGGCTTGGGGAAACTGGTAGGGGCTCGAGGGAAGAGTGTTGGGTTTGGCATCTAGGAGCTGTACGCCTGTACGGGACCCGGGGATAAGCACGAGGGGTTGGATCCTACAGGGGGCCAAAGTTCCCCACATTTATCACAAGGCTACTTCGGGCTCTCCAAGGGCGGTTATAAGTAAGATCTGAAGCACCTCTATAGGATGGAACCTCCAGTTTTCCATAACTCCGCTTATGGAATAAAGCCCTCTGCTACTGCGCAAGATAGATTTCAACAGGTGCAATCCAGGTTCGTTTATGCGTTCTATTCGAGAGGGGGGGTTAGGCTTTCATAAGTATACAGCAACTGAACATGAACCTTGAAAGCGGGCCCCGCTGAGGCAGGAGCCTTCCCACTAATCATCGTCTGGGCGATGTGCTTTCTGCTAGTGAGTGCGGAAGATGGCGTGGGAGAGTAAGTACAGGAACTCGTCTTAGATACCTGTTTATTGTTGGTGCTCTTCATGGGCGATTGTATGCTTTGAACACCATCTACGAGTAGGTTCCGAGCGCATGAAACTACCACTCTAGCGCATACGCGAGTACCTCAAGCAATGGCTTGATCCAGGCACAGTCCTGCATGACCCCTTATGCGCTTATCAACCCATCTTTAGATTGAATGCCGACCCTAACTCACAATCCAAGCCCAATAGATCGTAGACCCTGGATACTAATCCCCCGATCTTTCATCCTAAGCCCTACGCTTTTAAAACCTCGAGCTTGTTCCGTAAACCTCAGGCCACGGACCTGGAACTCTGAGCCCTGCACCCCGAACCATCAACGTCTGAACCCTAAAACCCTAAACCC